AAAGTGTCAGAATAAGGAGAGCGCTGCGCCGTCAGGCTGCTCCTCCCGCCGAGGGGCGCTGGGGGACAGCCCCGGCAATAACCCGAGCTCCCAGGCCGGCGGGCGCGGACACGGGGGCCTGGCCTCTGCTGCCCCGTGCTTGTGTTACTGCTCCCGAGTGCTGTCATGAAAACTTGTGGTTTATGGAATTGCTGTGTCATAGCTCTTTTCTCTTAACTTGTCGAAAGAGTCATCTTAGAGTAAAGCTATGCTGCACAGAATTACAGAAACTTATTTAAAATTTGCTTATTATAAAAAAACTGAAACGGGTGAAACAAGTCATAATGGGGAAACCAGCTGAAGTCAGAAGTTTCTGTGGTATGCCTTGTGTGCATGTGGAAATGTCTGTCATGATAGGTGCCACTTTATTAAACAGTGATAATTTGGAGAAGTGAATTTAAAAAAAAAAAATTCCCACAGGAGTTTGCTTCAAGAAGTGCATATGATTACCAGCTACGGTTTCAGGGAATTGATTTTTCTTCCTGAGAAGAGGAGCTATGATGTCTGTGGTACATCGGCTGACAGCAGGGTGGCTCGTGGATCATCTCTCTTTCATCAACCAGTGTGGTTATGAGATCTGTGACTCCTTTGCATACCCTGGTGGTGTCACTCTCAATACTTCTGTCACAACTACTGGAGATGGTTATGCTACTTCTGACTCTGCTGCCACCTCCTCACTGAGAGATGATCCTATTCCTGGTTCTGGAGATGGAATAAAAACGGAAGGTAAACCAGCAAAACTGAGATATGTGTTTCGGGAGGAGTTCTTTGACATTTCTAAGCCCCATATAGCTGTAGCTCCTGAGGAGCAGCTGTGGAAGGGATGCCCTGAGGTGGGTCTCACAGAAATAAAGGTCAACAGTGATGGGGAGGAGCACCAAGAAGGAACCAAGAGTGGCATCGGGGATTCTGTTGCCAGTGCTAGGAAGGTATGTTCTTTGTAATACAGTAAACTACAGTAATGCCCTGGTAAATAATACACCACTAACATTGTCTTGCACGTTTTGGTTTCTTGAGGTTAGTAGGAGAGCAGGAACTTTTCCACAATAGATTTCAAGATGCATGGAAAATATAAACACTCATGAAAATATTCTTGTGTTCCTGATGTTAGTAATGTGTGTCTTGTGGCTCAAAAGCAGTGGGTTGCTCACAAAATCTTTTGATGTTGGTTGTGGTCAGGCACTTGAGCTGAAACTGTGGTAGCTGTCAAGATTGTTCAAACCAACAAGGGAAGGACAGTGTGAATTTACTTTTAATATGTAGATTCTTCATTACTGTTCTTTATGGATCAGAAAAAATGTTGAAAGTCTAAACCAACAAATGTGATTGTGAAGACGTAGTTAATTTTCTCCTGTTATTGGTAAACTGCACTTGTCAGCTGAACAGATGCCTTCTAGTATGGGCCCACAGGAGGCATGAACATAAACTGTGGCATGCAGTAGGTAACTTCAGATCCTAGTGCCATGAGTAACGTAACACAGCTTTAAGCCAGTGTACCTTGAGAATGCTTACAGCAGCCTAGGCATTTTGAGATCATCTTTTTGCTTATTAGGCTTGTAATACAAAGTGAAAGAGGTGGAAAGTTTCTTCTGCTTTTAAAAGAGTTAATTTGTGATTCAGGTATATTTGATTTTTTTTTTTTTCTTTCATCATGGAGTAATATGGATTTTTTTTTTTCATTGTTTGATCGTTCTGAAGAAACGTAAAAGGAAATGTGTATTCAACCAAGGTGAACTGGATGCTTTAGAATACCATTCAAAGGTAAGTCTGAACAAAAGTATATTTTACAAGTACATGGCACCTGACTTTAAGACATGGCTGCAAACAAGTTCTGTCCTTGTAGCATGTTCCACTAATGGGAAGGTGATCTCTCCAGTCCTTAAATGACAAAGTGTGTACTGAGAATGTCTTCTGTGTAGATATATGTGAAACAAACTAGATGTGGAACAGACATTTCGAAGAGCTGGAAGCTGTGTTCCCAAAATACCTTTTACTGTTATGGATAACTCAATGTTATATAGTGATGAGTTGAATATTAGTTGAACAGGAAGTGACTAATTTGAAATAAACAGTGTAACCTGTTCTAAAGATCAGCTCATCTTCACTGTATCAGGACACTGTACTGAAGTTATTCAAAGCTTCTTTGACCAAATGTGCTGCAAGATGTCTCCTTCTGCTAATTAGAGATAATTTTTCCCTCAAATATTTTACATTGTCTTACTAAAACATCATGAATGAGTTAGAATTCAAGTCTCTAGGCTCACATCAGTGATGTACTGGTGAAGTTACAACTGTATTACGCTGAAGCATCTTAGTAAATCCTAGGAATGTGATCTGTGGATGATGTTTGATGTATTCTTACTGCATTCCTAAATAGTGATGTGAACCTGAACTAGGATCTACACTTGCTTTCTTTCCTCTGACAAAGTTGTTAGTCATATTGGGATTTTGCTTAATTCTGTTTCTCTTGGACTATACTTAAATGACTAAACTTTTCTTTTACATGGCAACAGTTTTGTAGTAAACATGTACAGTTTGCTGTGATAGTGTAGAGGTCCTGTAATTATTGTTGTGAATAAGCTATGCACATGCAGAATCATCTTAAAGGAGAGAACTTTGAAGTTCAACATCAAACAGAGGTTTATGAGTATGGAAACCTTTGTTAAACTTATTCAGCAGTAGGAGTAAGGGAAGAAATGAAAAAGCTGGATGTCTTGGAGGTATGTGTAACTTCAAGTGATTTTTTTGTGAATATGTAAAACAAGACAAAGTTTTGAAAAATCTATGATCTCAGTGTTGTGGTTTAACCCCAGCCAGCAATTAAGCACCACGCAGCCACTAGCTTACTCCTTCCCCCCTCCCAGTGGGTTGGAAAGATGGGAAGGAGAATGGGGGGGAGAGAGCAGGGAAGTAAAACTCGTGGGATAATAACAGTTTAATAACCAAAATAAAATATAATAATAGTAATGAAAAGGAATATAACAAAAAGAGAAGAATAAAACCCAAGGAAAGACAAGTGATGCACAATGCAATTGCTTACCAGCTGCTGGCTGATGCCTGAGTAGCAACATGCCTCTCCCAGCCAACTCCCCCAGTTTATATTGTGTGTCATGTTCTATGGTACAGAATAGCCCTTTGGCTAGTCTGGGTCAGCTGTCCTGGCCATTCGTCCTCTCAGCTGCTTGTGCACCTGCTCACTGGCAGAGAATGGGAAACTGAAAAATCCTTGGCTTGGTATAAGTGCTACTTAATAACAACTAAAACATCAGGGTCTGTTATTATTCTCACACTAAATCCAAAACAGAACTGTACCAGCTACTGGGAAGAAAATTAATGGTATTCCAACTGAAACTAGGACACCCAGTTAGCCTCTGATACCATTCACAGATTAGAATGCATTATGTAATAGAATGGGCTGCATCAAGAGCAGTGTGGCCAGCACGTAGAGGGAGGTGATTCTCCCCCTCTGCTCTCGTGAGACACCACCCGAAGTTCTGTGTCCAGCTCTGGCGCCCCCGGTGCACGAAAGACATGGACTTGTTTGAGTGGGTCTAGAGTAGGGTCATGAAGATGATGAGGGGGCTGGAACACCTCCCTTATGAGGACAGGCTGAGAGAGTTGGGGTTGTTCAGCCTGGAGAAGGCTCCGGGGAGACCTTATAGCGGCCTTCCAGTACTTAAAGGGGGCTACAGGAAAGATGGGACTCTGTCAGGGAGTGTAGTGATAGGACAAAGGGTAATGGTTTTAAACTGAAAGAGAGTAGATTTAGATTAGATATCAGGAAGAAATTCTTTCCTATGAGGGTGGTGAGGCACTGGAACAGGTTGCCCAGAGA